TTCAACGGAAGTTTTGGCGGAGTCAGGTTAGCCATCCAGGGGGACCATGTGTCCCAAGGCCATGCTGCACTAAAAAGAGCAGCCATTTATATCTGTATCTCTTTATTTAGGGTCCTACCCGCTCCTACCAAATGTTAGGACAGTTGAACAAAGAAAAGTCATTAGCTGTAAACCATTTTTCAATAAAATAGCCAAAGTCTATTATATTACCAATTTCAAAGCGCAACTATTTAAAGATTAACTGTGTATTTTTCTGTCAAAATTGGATATTCACAAAGTGTGTTTGCACTTTGCTGCACTCTCTTGTATGAGATTCAAACATATTATTTCTCCTTTAGTAACTATTTTCTTGGTTTCTTGGTTTCATGGTTCTTCTGAGTGTGTCTTAAATTTGTGTTGAGTAGTCTCATTTTTGTGGTTAAAGTACTTTTAGTATTTAGTGTGCATTTGTGCATTTGCACTTCCCGGCCACCATATATGTTATCTATTGTCTCTTTACAGTGTTATTTAACTGTACAAGACAGATGAATCCTACCATCCTGTTTCTTCCTATTCCAATCATCCCTAATGATACCTCAGTGACTAATTCATCTTTTCTTCTGGGCCAGGATCTCCGCTGCTGATCTGTGTTGTGTCTGTAACGTCGGCTTTTGAAAGTTATGGAGACAAGTAAGTATGGCCTCCACATGTGGGATTGTAATGGTTTTGTTCCGTTTTTGCATGAAAATGACATCATATTTGAAAGTAAGTGGAAACAGCAGTTTCTAATGTTATGTAAAGAGGTTTAAATCAGCAGCATCACAGTCTCATTTACATTAAAAATGCAGTTAAGTTGAATAACTTGTCCTTCTGGTTTCAGCTGCTGGCTCTCACTGCGGATGGGAGCCATTTGGGCGTTTGTGGCACCTGCTATTTTTGTCATTGTGGTGAGAAAACATTAAAAAAAACTGTATTTTTATTTACATACAGTGAGGAAAATAAGTATTTGAACACACTCTTATTTTGCAAGCTCTCCCACTTGAAAATCCTGGAGGGGTCTCAAATTGTCATCGTTGGTGCACACCCACTGTGAGAGTCATAATCTAAAAAAAATAAAAAATAAATTAACTATTTGTATGATACAGAGGCAATTAAGTATTTGAACACCTGAGAAAATCAATTTTAATATTTGGTACAGTAGCCTTTGTTTTGAATTACAGAGGTCAAACATTTCTTGTAGTTTTTCACCAGGTTTGCACACACTCTAGGAGGGATTTTGGCCCAATCCTCCACACAGATCTTCTCTAGATCAGTCGGATTTCTGGGCTGTTGCTGAATAAAAGGGATGGTGTTCTTGGGATGGTATTCATCATTCTTTTTCCTCCAAACACGGTTAGTGGAATTATGACCAAAAAGTTCTATTTTGGTCTCATCTGATCGTATGACTTTCTCCCATGACTCCTCTGGTTCATCTAAAAAGTCATTTACAAACTTCAGACGGGCCTTCACATGTGCTGGTTTAAGCAGGGGAACCTTTCATGCCATGCATGATTTCATACCATGACGTCTTAGTGTATTACCAACAGTAACCTTCGAAATGGTGGTCCCAGGTCTGTTAATGACATTGACCCACTCATCCCGTGTAGTTCTGGGCTGATTTCTTACCTTTCTTAGGATCATTGAGACCCCACCAGGTGAGATCTTGCATGAAGCCCCAGAGATTGACAGTCATGTTTAGCTTCTTCCATTTTCTACTGATTGCTTCAACAGTGGACCTTTTTTCACCAAGCTGCTTGGCAATTTCTCTGTAGCTCTTTTCAGCTTTTTGGGGGGTGTACAATTTAGTCTCTAGTGTCTTTGAACAGCTCTTTGGTCTCTGCCATGTTAGGAGTTTAATTCTCAGTGATTGTATCGGGTGGACACGTGTCTTTATGCAGCTAACGACATCAAATAGTGCATCTAATTTAAGGTAATAAACAGAGTGGAGGCTGACATTTTTAAGGCTGATTAACAGGTCTTTGAGGGTCAGAATTCTTGCTGACAGACAAGTGTTCAAATTCTTATTTGCAGTAGTATCACACAAATAAATAGCTCAAACATTGGGATTCCTGGATTATGTCTATCAAAGTCGACATGCACCTACGATGACAATTTCAGACGCTCCATTATTTCTAAGTGGGAGAACTTGCAGAATAGCAGGATGTTGAAATACTTATTTTCCTCACTGTACATGTTTGGCATGACTCTCTGTGAGTTTCACATTCACCTTCATTTTTTCTCCAACATTTTGATCCCAAGGTTAACATATGCATTCTGATATCTGTGACGAGGATCATATCAAGAATCAGCGGAGAGAATTACAAGGTTCATGGAGATGCGAATGCCATTAAGTGAGTTTGTTTGCATGATCGGAATCTCTTGGTTCTGTAACATATTTATTTAGTTAAAGGCTGTAATTAGGTTTATCTTTGGGTTTGCTTCAAGGCTCACAGCCAAAGCGGTGGCGGTGCTCCTGCCCATACTTGGCATTTCCTGGATCTTTGGAGTTCTTGCTTTCAACACACATACAACTATTTTTTTGTATATATTTGCTGTTTTTAACTCATTACAAGTAAGTTATCCACTTAACAATATTTTATATTGAAAACATTTAGCTGTTGTAATGAAAAATATATTTGATGTTTTCCTTTCCATAGGGGTTCTTTGTCTTCTTGTTCCATTGTCTTCTCAACTCTGAGGTAAAACACTTGGCACCGTTATCAAATCAAATGTGCCCAACAAAAGTTTTAAACTTTTACATTTTTTGCTTAAAAACATATGGGAATTTTTTTATTCAATTTTCTTTCTTCGACCTAAAGTAGTCCGTAATTGTTAAGTAAAAGTTATGCACACTTTTCACACTAAGCGACAGAGAAATCTTTCGTTTATGTCATGATTTTACTAAAGGTCTGACCCAAAATGCAGAAGACCAACCAGAAAGACCAGAGAAAAGTTTAACAGGTTTATTAGAATAATGACATGAGTCCAATGCTGCTCTGAACACTGCTCAACCGGAACTGAAAGATGAGGGGAAGACACTGTGGTTAGTTCAGTGGGAAATTAGATTCTTGGGCTTGAAGAGGAGGAATAGGTTCCAGACTCACGTTTCCAACAAAAGGTGTCCTTAATAGAATCCAGTCTGTGTGGGATGTTCCAGTGATAGTATTGTTTGATGTTGGGCGGACAGGGTTTACTCAGACTGCGGTTGTTCCTTGGTGAACGGAGAAAGCTGACTGCCACTCAGATTTCCTGCGGTACTTGAATGGGTCATAGTGGAGAATAATCCCTTTCTCAGTGCGAAGCTCAAACGATCTCTTGGGGAAAGTGGATCCATACCTCCTGTTTGAACCCCAGCTAAGTTTGAAGCTCAGTAGATCCTTCTAGGGAGAGAAGGTCAGAGAAATCCAGTTTGCAGGATGACTTCCCAGTATTGGCAACACTCTGGCCCCGAGGTAGTGGCAGTCAGCAGGTTAAGAACACTCCACAGGTAATGAGGCAACGAGCTGCAGGTGTGCAGGGAGGCCCAATGAGGACGGCGCACCACCTGGTGGAGGAAAACAGGAAACACAGAAACAACCCACAAAAACTGGATTCCTGACTGTTTACTTTGCATTTGTCTAACATCGCCTATTATTCCTGTACTATGAAACTACTTTCAAAAGTTACATCATTTTCAGATGCAGTTAATCTCAGGATAAATCCAGCTCTAGTTTGAAAGGATCAGAGATTTGTTGATGTATTCGGTTTTAAATCTTTTAAAGCTTTAAACATTTAAAGCACCTTCTCAATCCATCGTCTCAAAATGCAAAAAGAGAACGGCACAACGTAAAATTGTGACAAGACTCATAAAACTCTACACAAGCTCAGATAGGAAACATGTTCGCAGGCGACGGGAAGCTTAAAGACTGGTGAATATCACCAAAGAAACAAACCAGAGAGTGAATATTATTAAGATCAAAGCATTCTAATTTCCAAGAATGGTCTAATTCAAATTTAAATTTCACATCCTGAATCTGTTGCATGACTTACAAAGAGTCTGACTGAGTTAGCATATCTTGCAAAATAAACGTATAAAAGTAGGTGTAGATGTGCAAATCCGATAAAAGATAAGCTAAAAATACACCTATAATCACAGAATCGGGTAAATGTACAAAATGTCGATTAAAGAGAATTTGAATATAAAGTGGGACATTCTGGGAACCCAGTATCATTTTCCTTAACTGCCTCATCTACTGTTTGTGCTACTTTGAGCTGGTCTATGATATAAAATCGGAAAGAAGTTTAGTTTAGTTTGTGGATCCTTTGCAACAAATTGTGGAAAATGTTTGAACTACAATACTGTAAAGAAGTATATCCTTTCATCACAGATTTTTTCTGGTCAAACTAATCCAACAAAGATAAAAACTAGAATCAGTTCTCAACTTATTTGATTAACTGAAATAATATCTTTTCAAGAACATTGTTGGCTTTCACATTTTTACATAGCAGAATATATTTCCATTATTTAATGATAATGTCCTTTATACTTCTTTTTCCTAAGTTTATTCTTGCGTTGGATTATGTGAAACATTCAGATTTAACAGAAAGCATGAAAAACAAAAGAAATCTGTGGGGGAGGAAATACTTTTGAAACAATTTAAACGTGTCAAATGTTATCCCTAAGATGCACTGCCTTATAAAAAGAAAATAATTCTAAATTTTTACTGTTGTTCCTTTTTGCAGGTAAGAGCTGCATTCAAGCATAAAACCAAGGTTTGGTCTCTAACCAGCAGCTCTATAAGAAACGTCAATGTGAAACCATTCAACTCTGATATTGTAAGTACCAACAATAAGTTTGCTCTTTAAAACTGAGTCGTTTTGCTCCTAAAAGACAAATGTTCCCTTTTCATATTTTATGAAACAGATGAACGGAAACAAGGAGGGTGTAACTCCCACTAAGATGAACACATGGGACAAAAGCACCAACTCCGCCAACCGTTTTGACCTCTCCGCAGTGTAAAAACAAACCAAAAAAGAAACAAGCTGTTTTTGTGTGTGACAGAAGAGCGACGTGAGGCTCCCTTGGGTGGAAAGGCAAACACTGACCAGAGTATTCTTCCTGTCACTAAATGAATTGGATTTGAAGTTGTGTGACTCGTTCTGGCTTAAGGACAAACAGACTTGTTGGACTGTGCTTTAATATTCTTCCACAAAAACCTGTTTTTTGTTTTGTCCAAGTATTCATTTTGATATCTGAGGAGAAGTGCACCACAAAAAATCCCACGGAGAGAAGGACAGGGTTTAGCAGAATCACGTAAACAATGTGGGAAAGCAGGAAAACGCTGGAGCATTGTTTACACCAGTAACTAGCAGACAGCTCATCAGATAAACTAAACCTGCTTATTTCTATACTAAGACCAAAAATTAGAATCTGGGCCAATTGTTCTGTTCTTGTTGTCTTCATTTCTTGCTAAATGTATTGATTGTGCAAAAATCAAGTTTTCCATCTGCTGCAAATTTTCTCTAACCATAGTTTCATCTTGCAATGAATGTTTAAATTTATGATTATGATCCACCCTCCAATGTTCTTCGTTGTATATGTAGATTTCTTTTGGTTACACTGTATAAAGTTACAGCTATGAGTGATTGGCAAAGCCTGAACAAACACTGTGACTAAGTTTTCTTGTCTCTGCAAAAAATTTAACAATCAAAACCTCTTATGATCATATTATCTCCAATACGACACTGAAACACCAGTATAGAAAAAAAACACATTGATGTCAGGTCATGTGAAATAAGAGTTTGGCTACAGTAGAAGAATAAAATAACATAAATGCTAAAAACACCAAATAATAAACAACGCTTTAAAAGCCACTTCTGTGTTCAGTAGTGTTTCAGTCTTTTACTGGTCCAATCAGGTTAGAAGTGATCTCATCCTCCATTAAAGATTGGAAAACATGAAAAACAAGTCACTATTTGGATTGTCTGCAATGGCTCTTAATAGTGAAGAAAAATGATAAGGAACCAACTAATGGCTTTGAATACAGTATAACAAGCAACAGTCTTAGAAGCTCTAGCAGTTTTTTAAAGAGTATTGGAATTTAATTTTCAACACCAAGAGCTAAAGAAATATAATTAGCCTGGAAAATGTGAATTTTTATATCCTTAATAATGATTTCTTATTTTGAACTCTTAAATTAACCTTTTTTTAAATGGCCAAATATTTCCTGTAGCAAAAATAACTAGTTTTGTTTCATTAAATCCTCAAAATATTCTCTATACAGCTCTAAACGACTTTTAACTAGCTTTACTACTAGCGGATAATAATGCTCCTTGGATTTTAAAGATTTTAGACCCCTGACCTAAGGTTAGAACTGATTAAATATGTCTGAAGAGGCTATGAAGCCTGTTTGGTTAATTTTTTTTTTTTTTTTTTAGGAAGATCGCTTCTTTTCATTATTGGAATAATGCTGGTGGGTTTTTATTGCCACAGTCAGATGTGACGTTGTAGTGTTAGAAACATGCTCCAGACATCCTATTGTCAATTTTTCCAACCTTATATTTACAAAAGTTGAAAAAAAATGATTCTATTCCAGTGTTAAAAAATAAAACAAACCAGTAAAGGTAGAGTGCCTCTAAAAGAGCTGTACATTCCTATTAAAATGTCAGGTTTTCTAAGATAAATTAAAATGACAACAACATAAACAATTTAGGAGTTTTTTTTATATTGTATTCTAACATTTATTCTGTAAGAATCAGCATGAAAAAAAAGAAAACACAAATAAGCTGCAACAACTTGGTTGCATAAGTTTGCAATACTTTAAAGAACCACCTTCTGCTTCCTGCTCTCAGTTATAGATAATCTGATCAGGTCTGCTGTGCTCTCCATTTATTTGGAAGTAAGGGTAAAATAATGCTTTCCTTTATTTTTTATGAAACTTCGAAACTCCAAAATAATTGGGAGATTTTTTTGGGGTTGATTTGATGGATCCAAACTCAAACTTATGTCCACAATTTCACACAAAAAAGCTAAAAAGCAACAAAAACAGCACAACACTAAATGAAAACCATAACCACACACAAATATGGTGGTGGCGGCATCATGCTGTGGGGTTTCACTAGAATTAAATCAAAAGGCGGACGCCCACACTTAGGCAGCCAGATTGTTGCTTCTTTTATTCATAATGTGGAAGTTTAGAGGGAAAAAAATCCTTAAATTATTTTCCAATGTCCGTCTTTTTTCAATGACCCTACCATTTTAATGGGGTGTAATTTTTTTTCTTTTCACTCTTTGTATATTTAGAATATCAAGGAAATTAAGCAATTTAACTTAAACAAAATGGCGCCTAAAGGGAGCATCATAATCAGGTGACAATTTATCAAAATCTTTCTCCATCTTGATTTGTTCAATTTATGAAAGACTTGTTTGCTGTCAATGTAAAGACATGAGATTGGTATTAATCTTTTCATCAAATGAGTTTGGTTTATACAATAGGATAATATTATGACACCTGCTTTTAACTACAAGCAGAAATAAGAAATACTTAACTGTGTTAAGATAAGAGTTGTCAGAATGCTCTTGGAACTGTTTGCATAATGTTAGACAAAAAGACCAAGACTATAAAGTTATAGTTTTATTTTATGCTTTATAAAACAATATGACAGAAGCTGTTCTTTTATTTTCACCACAAAATAAAAATGCAAATTATATCCACATAAAGTTTAGCAATAATTACTTATCAGACACAGTTTTAATCCAGTTCCAAACACACCACAAAATAATATAACCGTGCATCCTTTAACATGGAGTTTATTTTGATACGTGTATTTATTTATGTTATGATTCTGAGTTTTGTATTATGTCCTCTTGGATGTTTGTTCTCTCTGTTGTTTTTATTATTTTCCATCATGAAAACTATTTGCTGGAATATTATCTGTACCTCTCTAGCTGCAAATGCTTTTTATAAACCCGGTGAATACTTTTTATGTATTCCTCAAAATTTTGTGATATGTGATTCTTTCTGCTACTTTTTACTCGATCATCAGGCTATAAGAAGCATGAATAATATTTTACTGCAGGAGGTTTATTGGAATTATTTTGTTTTTTTTTGTTACTAAATTCTTACTTTGTTGAAAATGTCCTTTACTGTACACTGTGCCAAATTAAGTTTCTTAGATACTGTAAGTTGGTCTGCAGCACTATTTATATGTCAGAATAAAGTAAAATATTTTAGCATTTGTTTGATTGTAGCCTTTCTTTCCTCTAACAGAACCTAACTTGTATATCCAGATATCTCTCTGTCCACCTACCTGGTAGTGAGTGGCTGAAATGGGTAAAACAATAATCCAAGCTTCACCATCTCACAGAATGCTGATGGCCAGAAATAAAGAGCATTATTCTGAGAAGAAGCCAGAAGAGTCATAACACCTCTGGCTGGAAGAGCTGCACAGATCCACAACTATAGGAAACCTCTGTTACATCTCTTAACCTTTGCACTTCAAAACATTTATTTTATTTTTTAGTAGGAGAGGCAAGACGAAATCAAGCCGCTGAAAGACAATCATAAGTATCTTGTTTTAAGTTTGCAACGAGCCATAGAAGACAGCAAACATTTAGAAGGATTAACATGTTATTAAGGGTAAACATAATGTAAGCACTACCACCCCATGGTTAGACACGGTGGTTGCAGAATCATGCTGTGGATATATAAACAGTATGGTTTTAGGAATTTACAGAAAAGTTGGTGGGTGCTGATGAGAAGATGGAGCACGAACCCAGGGAAATCCTGGGGGAAGAACAGTAAAAGGCTACAAAAGACTTTGAACACAATGATAAGTTTGGAGGATTGAAGTTAATCAACAATCTTATACAAGAATTTTTAATTAATTTTACAGACATGGTGCATTCGATGTAACTGTGTTTGAGCTTTTCTAATAGATAAATGTTCAAAAGTATTATTCTCTAGGTGGGAGATGTTGCTACTTGATGCAGTGGAAGCTGTATACCTACAGTGAAAGGTCATTATTATTCATCACAAAGACATGCATCATTTCTAAGTTTTTTATTGGGCTTTTGTAAAAACCATGAGTCCTTTTCTCATAGTTCTACAGAAGAGGATTAGGGCCACTGAAAAAATATATATATATTTTTT